AATAAATCGTGAGAGAATCCACAGCGAGAGCGTCATTCCTGAGTGTCGAGGGCGCGCCATCTGAAAACATCTGGGGCAGGCCAACGACAGAGCGCAATTCCTGCATAATTTGCGAGGACGTCCCGCGCGAGAACGCGATGTTGCAATAATTGATGAAGAACTATCCGGTTGGAACCGTCGTTGCTGTAACTCGGGGGCCAGGGGCCCAGTTTGGTGACACCTCACTTTCCCTTCTTAGTACGAGAATGCGAGCCACGGGAATTGCAAGCTGTACAAGGGATACCAGAAGGGAGGAATCAACAACCAATATTCGTTAGGAATGAAAACTCAACAACGACATCTACAACATCAACAATAATAACACCAACAGCAACAGCTGCAGCAGCGGCAACAACAACAACGCAAGGAAACTCCCTCAGGCCAGCCCGGCGGGTCCCGTGGTGGTGTCCTCGGCCACAGGGCAAACGCATTCTCCTGGGCCAAAAGTTGCTGTTGTTGCCCAGGGAGGGGGGGGAGCAACGCGCAACACCTCTGTCATACACGGACGTAAATCTAAGTGTGTCCCCGATTCTACGTTAGCTCCCGTACTGTTATCCACGCACTCTTGTGGGCGAAATGCGTGCGCACGCCGGCGAAGCGAGCACCTCCTCCTCTGTCAGAATCCTATAAGATCCATACAAACCCTAGAAAGGATTCCTATACGAATCCTATGGGAATCGATTCCTGAATGAGGAGTTCTCATAATGGTTCCATGACAATGATTCTAATAAGGATTCCTTATCAGAGAATTCCTAATAAGATTCCTCACAAAGGATTCCGTAGTAAGGATTCCTTACGTAAGGATTCCGTAGTAAGGATCCCTTGGACAAAGAATCCTTCATAAAGATTTCGAAATAAAGTTTTCTTTGTGAATATTCGATATTTACTAGTGATTTCTGACTAACGATTTCTTAGTGAGAGCTCCGTCGTAAAGATTTCTGAAGAATGCCCATAATGAGTATAGAAAAAAAGAAAAAGACAGAAAAGAAAAACAAAAAAAAAGACCCAGTGCTCCTTCATAAGAATTATGGAATAAGGATTCTGAATGAAGGATTCTGAGCTAAGAATTCCTTAGTGGTGACTCCTGAATAAGAACTCCATATTAAGGTTTCCGTGCGAAGGATTCCTCGTAAGGATTCAAGTAAGATTCCGAACTAAATATTTCTTGATACTGATACCTTAATAACGATTCCTTCATAAGAATTCTGTACCAAGAACTCCTTGGTAAGGATTCCGTAGTAAGACCTCCACATCAAGAACCCCGAACTAAAGATTCATAAATAAGGAACTCGGAATAAGGATTCCTTCGTAAAAACTCCATACGAAGGATTCATTATGAAGGATTGCTTAACAAGGACTGATTATTAAAGAGTCTCTGCTCACGATTCCTTAATACAGATTTCTTCACCAGGAGTCCTTAATGAGGATTCCGCAGTAAGGATTCCTTCGTAATGACTCCGTTGTACTTTTTGTTGATATTACAAAAGATTCCTGAAACAAAATTTACGTATGAAGGTTCCGTCGTAAAGATTCGTACGTCACGTCCGGAAAAAAAAAAGGGGTTCCTTAATGAGGATTCTTCCGAAACACGAATTAATGAAGATCCCTTAAGAAAGATTCCTGAATAAAAATTTCCCAAATAAGAATTCTGTGCTAAGAATTCTTCCGTAAAAACTCCTCAGCAAGAATTCCATATTAAGGACTCCGCACTACAGATTCCTGAAATGGGCCCGAAATTGGCCCGAACCTTTCGGTGGAGCCCCGTGGGGCCACGAACCGTGTGATGGGTGTGCCTAGATTGACCCGAATCCTTCGGTGGAGCCCCCTGTGGAACCACGAAGCGCGGGAGGGGTGTGCTGAACTGGACCCGAGGCTTTCGGTAGTGCCCCCTTGTGGACTTGACCCGAAACCTTCGGTGCAGCTCATTGGGACGACGAAACGTGTGAAGGGTGTGCCGACATGGGCCCGGAATCTTCGGTGGAGCCCCTGTGGGGCCACGAACCGTGTGAGGTGTGTGCCGAAATTGACCGGAATCCTTCGGTGGAGCCCCCTGTGGAACCACGAAGCGCGGGAGGGGCGCGCCGAACTGGACCCACGGCCCTCGGTGGAGCCCCCTTGTGGGGCCACGAAGCATGCGAGGGGTGTGCCGAAATTCGCCCGAAACCTTCGGCGAAGCCCACTGGAGCCACGAAGCGTGCGAGAGGTGTGCCGGCATTTGCCATAAACCTTCGGTGAAACCCAGTGGGGCCACGATACGTGTGAGGGGTGTGCCGAACAGGACCCCCAGCCTTCGGCGGAGCCCGTTGTGGGGCCAAGAAGCGTGTGAGGGATGTGCCGAAGTGTACCCGAGGCCTTCGGTGGGACCCCCGTGGAACCACGGATCGTGTGAGGGGTGTGCCGAAGTGGACCCAAGGCCTTCGGTGCAGCCCCCCGTGGAACCACGAAACGTATGATGGGTGTGCCGAAATTAAACCATAACCTTAGGTGGAGCCCAATGGAGCCACGAAGCGTGCGGCAGGTGTGCCGAAATTGGCCCGAAGTCTCCGGTGGAGCACGCTGGGGCTACGAAGCGTGTGAAGGGTGCGCCTAAATTGACCCGAATCCTTCGGTGAAACCCACTGGGGCCACGAGGCGCGGGAGGGGTGCGCCGAACTGGACCCGAAGCTTTCGGTGGAGCCCCTTGTGGACTTGACCCGAAACCCTCGGTGGAGCTCACTGGGGCGACGAAACGTGTGAGGGGTGTGCCGAAATGGGCCCGAAGCCTTCGGTGGAGCCCCCTATGGGACCACGAAACGTGTGAGGGGTGTTCCTAGATTGACCCGAATCCTTCAGTGAACCCCACTGGGGCCACGAAGCGTGTGAGGGGCGCGCCGAACTGAACTCGAGGCTTTCGGTGGAGCTCCCTTTTGGTGCCACATAGCGGGTGAGGGGTGCGCCGAAAGTTCCATGAAACCTTCGGTGGAGCCCCTGTGGGGCCACGAAACGTGCGAGGGGTGTGCCGAAATTGGCCCGAAACCTTCGGTTAAACCAATTGGGCCCACGAAGCGTGTGAAAGGTGTGCCGAACTGGACCCGAGGCCGTCGGCTGGCCATGAAGCGGGAAAGTGGCTCGAAATTTTCGGCCGATCTGGGGCCCCATACAGATCCCGCACGCCCTGCACGGGATCCGATACAGACCCCACACGGCCTCGCAAAGGCCTCCCGAACAACGCCCAAAAACCTCGCAACAGCCCCGAAAGGACCCCCCCGAGCAACGCCACAGGGGCCACGCGGGGCCCCCGCAGGGGCTCGGCGACGCCCCCGTGGCGTTGCTCGAGGGAGGGGCCCTGCAGGGCCCCCGCGCTGCCCCGCGGCGTTGCTCGGGGAGGGGGGGGTCGAGCAACAGGCCCCCGGTAGTGTTCGCGAACAACGACAAGAGCAAGAACAAAAACAACAGCAGCAGTAGCAGCAACAACAACAACAACAACAAAAACAACCACAATCACCACAACAACAACAACAACAACAACAACAACAACAACAACAACAACAACAACACCACCACCAACAACAAAAAACAACAACAACAACGACAACAACAGCAACAACAACAACAACACTCATCAATCATCATCATCATCATCATCATCATCATCATCATCATCATCATCATCATCATCATCATCATCATCATCATCATTATCATCATCACCTTACCATCGTGCGCCATGTTCCAACGCGTCACACGCATTCCTCTGGAGACCACCCCCCAGTACGGGAAATTGTTCTGGCATGCGAGGTCCGATATTCCCTCGCCCAAATCTCCCGCCCAGGAAAGTACTGCCACCTCTTCCGAAGAACTTCGACATCCACAGCACGGACGGGACATCGCCATCGCAATCGCCTAACGCACGCCCCGTATCCCGGAGGAGGAGGAAAAGGACGAGGAGGGGGGGAGATAAGGGAGAGGAGGAGGGCGAGGAGGAGGAGGAGGAGGAGGAGGAGGATGGAGGAGGAGGAGGAGGAGGAGGAGGAGGAGGAGGAGGAGGAGGAGGAAGGGGAGGAAGGAGGAGCACTTGTAGTAGCAGTACCTCCGAAGACAAGGTGTTTCTGACTCCTCGTTCGAAATGTTACGCCACCATCCTGCGGCCTCGGCGCGTGACCCTGAACGTTCACGCCCCCAGGCGCTGCGTTTCCCATGCTCGCATCCTCCACCTGCCCCTTCCACACCCTCTCAAGGACTGGCGGGTTCCCTTCGTTCATCAGGCTCGGCTCGCCGAAAAAGCCAAAACAAGAAAAGCAAGAAAAGCAAGAAATGCACAGATATGTCACGTAATATTGCGGATACATGGTATCTATGTCCCTCACATTGATATTGATCACCCCTGCTCTTTCTTCCACCCTCTCATACTCTCCCCTACCCAGATTCCATAGTTCCTCTTTCCTCCCCCCCTCCTCCTCGAACCCTCCCCGTTCCCCCCCCCCTCCTCTTACGCTCGTACCTGATGGACCGAGTTCGGGCCCAAGCTTTGACGAGCTGGTGTTTAGGCCTCGTGGCCTTCAGCAGCAGCTCGAATGCCTGGGCGTGACGGCCATGGCGGAGGGGTGCGGAAGGCGGAAGACGAACGCCTTGAGCTGGGGGGGCCTCCTCCCCCCGCCCTGTCGCTGTCGCTGTCTTCCTGATGATCGACCCCCCCACCCCCGGGGCGGTCACACCTGGAGGGGGTCAGCAAAGTAGACCCGTCTCAGATTTCGAGGCGACGATGGGGGCGAATAGCCCAAGTGAGAGCAATACATGTATCCATGGGCGCCGATGAACTGTCTTCGACAAGGCTCCACGGCGAATACGTGTAATGCCCGCCCCTGGGCTATTCGCCCTTCTCGTCGCCGCCGACAGATAGAAATGCAAAGAACAACGCCGGCGCAGAACCTTCCAGGGGGCGGGGTAGCTCGGCCCCCCAGTGCTCCCCCTCCCCCCCTCGCCGTGGCCACGCCGACCAGCCCGCGCCGCCCCAGCGCAGCCGCGGCGGGCGCTCTGCAGCCTGGGGCGCCGCGGCGGCTGAGGGGCGGCCCTCTGAGAGGTCCAGGGCCCCCTTCCTGCCGCCTGGGACGCCTCAACAAAGCCCTGAGACCCTGGCGATGCACATTTTTCATATTGGGCGTCTTCGCCTTGTTCCTGGCCTTGTGCCCCTCGCAAATCGATCCGGCTCGTACAAGGCCGCAGAAGGATGGGGTCCGGGGCTCTGGTGGCGATTGTCGGGTCGGCTACTGGGGTTTCGCACCCCAATGCGCCCCAGCCCTCCAAGATCACCGGAGTCACCCAGACAAGGGGGAAGGAGCGGCGCCCCCTGACCACCCAGCCTCGATTGGAGATGACCCCACGACCCCAGAGGACGGGGCCAGGGCCTGGGCACGGCCGGACGAGATGCTCCGGAACCAAGAATATGCACAAGAACGCGGGAAGGAGGCAGCCAGGGGGTCTGAACTGGATGGGCACAGAAAAAATTTGACTATAAGGGGGATGAGGGCAAATCCGCTGAATGACGACATGGGAGCGATGATGGCGCGGCTGATCGCAACCTGGCGGCAGCTCCCACGAGTGGCACGGAGAGGGCCATGCTTACGACACCGCAACCTCGCCAGTCACCACGTCTCCCCGCCCGTCACAATCAGGTACAATCTGAGCTCGTCGCTGCAGCGCCTCCGCCTCGGAAGGTTTACCACTTGCCTTGGCGGCCGAATGCTTCAACGGTGCTGCACGCTCCAGGGGCGGGCAGTCAAGCGCGGCTACACATCTGGCGGCCCCTTGGGGTCCTCTTTCTGCTCCTCATAAGATCGACGTCCTTGGTGACAAGCGTTTAGACAGGATGCTCAAGAAAACTAAGGCGCGCAACTTCTTCCGCCACAAGTGGCGGAAAAGATGGGGACTTTTGCCCGCCGGATGTCGCTAGGCGAAACTCAACTCTAGAGAGGGTCCTGGACGCTAAAGAAACGCCCACACCTACAGTCGCTTACGAGCAGGAGGGATGAGCGAGACCGGTGACTCGGAGTCCCATGGAGAGCGGGGTGTGTGTGCGACCATTCTGCACATCAAGAGAACAAAAGATTGGCGGCATCCGCGTCGGCGGCGAAGTCATACTCAGGTTTATCCTCAGCGGTGCCACCGTAATCTGTCATGTGTGGTCGCAGGAGCTGGCGTCGGTGATGGCGCGTGGACTGTGCCTAATGTACAAATCGGGCAATCCTGTCACTTTGCGAAAAATAGTCGAGCCACATCGAAATCATTTTCCCAGCCACCCCGCTGAGGCGGCGCCCACGCGGCGCCGCGACTCCCCCTCAACCCCGAGGCCATCGAGAATCATCTCGTGGGCGGGCCAGTCCTTGGCGCCTTGTCGCGCATGCTGGCGCCTGTCGCGTAGTCGGCGGCCGTCGAGCTCGGGCAGTCGTCGCGGTTGATGCTATAGCTCGAAAGGCTGCGCCCAGCAATGGATCAGCAGCGAGTCGAACTTCTCCGAAGCCGCGCTGCACCAGCTGGCTTCCAGGCAGATGCAGGGAGGTGGCGCTTGGGCGCAGCCACTCTCGAGGAGCGCGGCAACGTCTCGAGCCAGGGCCCACGCCACGATGGAGGGATGCGCGTTCGCTAGCGCGCTCGAAGGGCCCCTGGATCATGGCATTTTCGATGACGATCGGGCCGATGTGCTCGAGCGGGCAACGCACGAGTGCAGACGGTACCCATGGACATGCATGCGATGCGCGGTCGAGGAAGCAGCGGCCCTCGATCCACGACCGACGCTGATGCACGTGGCAGTGCCGCGAGGATCCGTACACGCTGCCAAACACCAAGCACTTGCTATAGCGTGGATCGCAACTGCAGCGTAAGTGCTCCGTGCCCTGGAAGCGCCGCCGACGCCCGGCGAGCTAGAGTCGAGAACGCGCGGAACGCTTTGCCGCGGCCCTCGATTGTGCAGACGAACCAGTTTGGGTCCTCCGGGTCGCTGTCGGGATCCCCCAGGGGCTCGCGCGATGGCACATGGATATACTCAAGCGGGCGGGGCCCAGGATTGCGAGACGCAGGCCGCCGAAGGTAGCCGACGCCGACCTTCTGGAATGCCTCCTGGGCCTCGGGGCTTCGGGGGAGCCCCTGGGCGCTCTCGCCCGCGCCCCAGATCTCGCGCGGGTCGTTTGTCGACGGGGGCTGCGCGGGCACTCTGGGAGCCCCCGCGCAGCTGTCGGGCAGGAGGCGCACGGCGGGCTCTGCTGTGGGCGCCCCCAAGGCCACGAGAGCAGGGGCTGAGGCGGGGGAGCCCCTGGACGCTCTCGCCCGCGCCCCAGATCTCGCGCGGGTCGTTGGCAGCGGGGGCTGCGCGGGCACTCTGGGAGTCCCCGCGTACTCCAGATTTCGCAATAAAAGGGAGGGGGTCTCATTTCGGGGGGGGTCTGTTCCAGGCTATCTTGGAGGGCCTGGGGGGGTCTGGGGACGATGTTTTGGAGGGTTCTCCCACGGGGGGGGTCTGAAATGGCTTGTCTTGGAGGGTCCAGACCCCCTCCCTTTTATTACGAAATCTGAAGTAGTTGTCGGGCAGGAGGCGCACAGCGGGCTCTGCCTTGGGCGCCCCCGAGACCACGAGAGCAGGGGCCGAGGCGGGGGAGCCCCTGCGCCTCGATCCGGTTGCCGAGTTTACATTCAAGTCGGGCCTGTCCCCCTACAGGGGGATGTTCGAAGAAAAAAAAGGAAGAACAAAAAAAACAAGAAACTAATCCAAAAATAGTCTGGGGATGTTCGACGAAAAAATAAAAAATAAAAATAAATAAAGAAATAAAAAACAATAATAATAATAATACTAATAATAATAATAATAATGATAATGATAATAATAATAATAATAATAGTGTGGGGACTATTTTTTGGATAGTTGTTGATTTCTGATTTTTCCTCGAGAATCCCCCCTGTTTGGGGGCACGCCCGACTTAGGTTTACATCTGTCCTGGAAGCAAACGAGAGATTGTTCGCGACGCTCGGCCCCGCTGCTCAGCGACCGCCACCACCAGGTTTTCAGTACATAGGATCTTTCAAAGTACAGGATGTTTATTTAATACACACAGGATCAACCTATGAATAGGTGCGTGCACGAACTCATCGCTGTTTTTGAGACGACATCCCGGCATGTTTGATACATGAGCCGCACGCGGAGCATGTATCAAAAACGGCACTGTCTGCAATCAGCACGCATCGCCGCTTGATTTGCAATCAGGGCAGTTTTTAATACATAGGATCTTTCAAAATATAGGACGTTTAATACACAGGATTGACCTATGAATAGGTGTGTGCACGAACTCATCGCTGTTTTTGATACGACATCCCTGCATGTTTTATACATGATCTGAACGCGGAGCATGTATCAAAAACGGCACTGTCCGCAATCTGACTACCTACCAGACCACCCCAACCCAACCCGAAGACCCGAATTTCGGGTTTGGGGGGGGTAAGGGTTCCACATGTGTTTTTTCGATGTGTCCCGACCCCCCCCCACTGGAAATCGAGGGTAAATCTGAGCCTTCGGGTTGGGTTGGGGTGGTTTGGTGGGTGGTGACAATCAGCACGCATCGCCACTTGATGTGCACGAACTCATCGCTGTTGTAAATACGACATCCCTGCATCAACGCGGCCAGCCTCCGCAATCAGCACGCATCGCCGCTTGATTTGCACGGCGCGCGCCCACGCGGGCCGCGTCGGCGCGCGCGAAGACCGGGGCTTCTCCGCCCGACCACTCGCGGCCAGCGGCACGCGCGAGGAAGATGCGGCGCCTGCAGCGCCTCGGCGCGGAGGGAGTCCACAAATGCGCGCGCCGCGTCAGCCCTGCGCCGCAGGCTCGACGGCACCCCTCGACCCCAAAACGTTGCACCCGCCGACGTGGATGCAGGCACCCAGGTGGATGGCGATCGCGACGCACGCGCCGCTGAGTTGGCGCTCGGCCGTCTTGGTCGCGGCACTCGTGGGCAGATGAACGAGCGCCTCCTGTTTGGCGACGTTCTGGGCAGAGCCGCCCTTCTACAGCACGGCATTCTCGATGGAGACATCGATGCAATCGATGGCCAGCGCCCAGCGCAGCGCGCCGCCGGGACGGCGAAGACGCGGGCGACGTCGTCGACGAAGGACCCATGTCAACGCGACGGTCGTTACCAGTGACGGGGCCGGCTGCGGCCATCCCGCCGCCGACGACGCCGGCGCGCTCCCGGCCCCACTCGGCGATCAGCGGGTGGGAAACTCAACGAACAGCTCACGCCCGCGGCCGTCGCCCGCGCGGCCTCCGCGTCGGGGGCAAGGTCCAAATGTGCGTCAATGGCGTCGATGCGCATCGCGATTTCCTCGCGGCGCTGCGCCAGCGGCGCAAGCATGTCCCCGAAGAAAGTCCGCCGCGCCGCCGCGGAGATGGAGCCGCCAGAAGGGGCAGAAGACGCGGCGCAGCATGCGGAAGCGGTTGGTCAAGTCGAGTACTGGGTCGCCACATGGCTCTCTCCCCGGCTTCCCGACGGCCACTGTCTGGCTGGCGCAGGATAGCGCGGGCAGTTCAGTAGAGTCGCGGGCGCGCGCGAGGAGGTCCCCCTCCCCCTCCGCCTCCCCCTCCACCTCCGCCTCCGCCTCCTCCTCCTCCTCCTCATCCTCCTCCTCCTCCTCCTCCTCCTCCTCCTCCTCTTCCTCTTGGGGCCCGGCAGTGGTCATCGTCTGAGTCGAGCTGGCGCCGGTCGGGGCGCGGTGGTCGGCGTCCGCCGCGGCCGGTCGCCGCCATCCAGGGGCGCCTCGCGCCGCGCGTAGCTTCTCCCCGAAAGGAAGGGGGAAAAGGAAGAGGAGGAGGAGGAGGAGGAGGAGGAGGACGAGGAGGAGGAGGAGGGGGAGGGGGAGAGGGGAGGGGGAGGAGGAGGAGGGGAGGGGAGGAGGAGGAGGAGGAGGAGGAGGAGGAGAGGAGGAGGAGGCGGAGGAGGAGGAGGAGGAGGAGGGGGAGGGGGGGAGGAGGAGGAGGAGGAGGAGGAGGAGGAGGAAGGAGGGAGGAGGAGGAGGAGGAGGAGGAGAAGGAGGAGGAGGCCGTAGTCGGCAGGGGCGCAACCCAGTTCTCTGCGCGGCAATCCAGGCCGGCCGACAAACCTCGGGCGCTCGGCGAGCTCGGCGGCCCACGGCCAGACAGGCGAGTACTTCCCACGTTTGTTCGCCCAGGGACGCGCGGTCATGGCGCCGAGGATCTCAGCGGTTGCATGCGAGGACTGTTGGGCGGGCTCCACTCGGCACTCGCCGGCGGAGCAGACATCGGTCTCGTCGCGGTTGTTGAGCTGGCCGACGGCCCCCCCCCGCGGCGCAAATGTCAACGCGCGCGGGGGCGGCCGCGAGACCGCCGTCGAGGCCGCCCCCGCCGGAGGCGTCGGCGTAGCGGGCGGCGGCGGGGAGCGCGCTGGGGAAGGCGAGGAAGTCGCGCTTCGTGGGGCCCGCGTTAGCGCCTGCTCGCGATAGGCTGAATTCCGCCACTCGGGAGAGGTCGCGCACGCGGCAGGCCCCGGCGATCCGCTCGCCGCGGAAGCGCTGCCACCGAGCGCGCTTCCAGGGGGCACGTTCGCGGAGCTTCCGCGAAACAGTCTCCGGGTGGCAGCCGTCGATCGCAATGCCTCTATCTCGTACAGTCGGGGCGTTGACCTAAGAAACCCTAAATAAGGAACGAGGCCCCCTTCTCCAATAAGTTGAACTT